TGCACATTTCTTTCTCAAGAGTTGTTCAATTTTCTCTTGCTTATACTTTCACAACCGCAACCATCCAAATACACTTTTAAAGAGACATAATAATAATAAATCTATCTGAAATCATAAAAGCACATTGATAGTTAGGAGACCTTTATTTTCATAAACTCAACATTCTTAACAGCCTGCCTCTCACTAGAGCAAAACACCCCACTTAATCACAGAAGTTGGCCAAAACACAGTATATTCCCTTTTACCATGGGGTGACTTGTGACAACGGGCAATTCAGCCTGGCAATCCTGTTCTGGTTTTGTAGGTATTAATTTAAAATAAATCTGAAATATTACATCTAATGTACAGAAATATATAAGCTGTTCAGTGCTTCAGTACATCCACATTTCCACCCTTTAAGCCAAGGTAGACAAATACTGAAGTTCTCTGCAAGCTTCTAGAAAGATGCAACATCCTTCTGCTGAATATGGGAATTACTGGCCTTTGAGAAAAGTAAAAGGCATTCTTCAGCAAAACATTCTTCAGTATTACATTGTTTGAGAACAGCTAAGAAAACCATTACTACTAATATAATAGCAGGTACTGCAGTTTGGATGAGACTGCTCATTAGCTGTAAAACAAGTTCACTTTCTAATTTAAAAGGTAAAAAAAAGCATTGTCTGAAAAATCTCTCAAGTGTATGCTGTAGTACCACAACCTGATGAGACAGGTGGCAATAGAAAAATAAGACCATGGCAACTAATACAGCATTTGCGCATAAGTTTCTCCAACATCACCTTTGTTTCTTCTTCCTCATCTCCTTCCCATTCTCCATGTGTTTCATCTATCCACTGAAATACCATTCCTCTGAGGGGCCATACTGGACAGAGACTATACTTTCATTATTTTGCAGGGGGAAATAAGCTTTAATAGACTATTTGGAAATCTTACAACTTTTGTAATAGTACAACAGCAATATGAGAAAAAACAGCATTCAAAAAAGTCCAGCCATTGTCCTAATAGCCTGCTGTTGGAGCAAAGTAAATGAGACCTTAAATACTGGTGTAAGACTAGCTTTTAACAGTTTCACCAATATATCATTCAAACTAAAAGGAAGAGGTAAAAGAAAAAAATAATCCTTTGAGTTGCATATTCACAGGGCTCTTTATCTTCTTTTCGTTCTCACAGTAAATGCAGTGCCTTACCAAATCAGCATCAAGGTCTACTCTATTGATTTTAAAATGGAGCGTACCAGGTACATTGGAGGAAATAATAATTAGCAAAAAAAGCAAGTAGCACTCCAGGAAAAGCACATTTAAAAATTAGTAACTGCAGAGCTGAAACCCAAGGCATAAGGGATGGGAGAAGGGTACACACAGGAACAAAGAGCTTATCTTTCTGTGGTCAGAAAGCATGTGAGATAAGCCTCTGGGAACCAAGCAGCAGCTAACACAACAGAAGAGTTTTATGGTTCCCGTTTCTTACCTGTATCTAGCCACAGGTTTTTATGGACAAGTGCAACATAGTAATATGGAAGAAATAATTTGGAAGAATTAGATTTCATGTTTAGTAGAAGGGCGTTACATTTTTAAAAATTACTTCTTTAAAGTTTTATGTATTATTTAGTTTAGTTGAGAAAAGAAATAAGAACAAGGTTGGAAGAATCTGTGATAATTTTTTGTCCTTTTAAATATCAAATATCAAGTTTAACATTCCATAGTTTTGCTGGCTGAATCTATTGGAGATTTAAAAATAAATACATTGTGAGCTCCAGCACTTCAATGGGTTATGAATATAAACATTTGAAGAGTCTCTTTGTTTAAGATTCATTAAGCACCAGAATTAAAAACAGGCTGCTGAAGCGCATACAGATTAGTGAGGTTAGATTTGGGTACGAGTTTTTACTGATATCATACAGAGCTGCGGTAAAATGAGTGAGGCTCTGTGGGCATGACTGGGTTATAAGCAAAAAAAGGAAAACACCGTAAGAACTCATGGCAAGATACAGACTTAAGCAGCGACACCATCTCTCTTCCTCTCCCTTGCTTAACTTTTAGTTCTTTATAACTGCAAAACCTTCTCTACTTGCCATCATTTCTTAGCTAGAAATTTCTTGTCCAAGTACAATCCTCCATTTTATAGCCCTTCTAAACTGCACCTTTAGACAAGGCCCCTGATTCTAGAACAATTGCAATGCACCTTTCCTTCTCCAAAATACGCTACTTTTAAATTTGGTGAAAAAAAGATGCTCCAAAAAAAAAAAAAAAAAAAAAAAAAAAAAAAAAAAAAAAAAAAAAAAAAAATATCCCTTTTCTCCCTTAAATGGTCATTAGCCTAAAGCATTGCATAAATAAATCTACATCTTGCCATAAAGAATGAATATGGACACAAGCTGTCTCCAAATCATGTAAAAACATTTTTGCCTTTAGAATACACATGTGCAATGCCAAAGATAATCAGCAAGAAATACAAAGCAGATCTTAACATACTGACTACTAATTTTTGGCAGTGCTTATCTGAGTAATAAGAAACTGTTAAGAAGGCAAGAACTATCACGGGCTTAAATTCAAAATATCAGACTACACCAAAGGCATACTCCAGATTTACTCAGGTGTAAATTTGTGATCCATGCAACTTTCTGAAAAGTCAGTATTATAAAGCAAGCTTAAATTAATCCTATGCAACTTGCATAGAATTTTCCTACTTAAAAAAAGCCCACCGTAAGCACACACAGTTGTAACAGTTATAAGGGTCGCTGCTATTTATTATATGGGATTCCATACTAGTGTTTAACTTGGAATCAAGCATATCCACTTAGCTAGACAAACTCTTTAATATGCAGCATGAGTGAGCAGCCTCCATGATTACATTCAGTTCTTGCAGGACCTTCAAATGGAACACTGAAACCAGCTGAATACAATGAACAGGCTGCCAGGAAAAGATCAAGTCTGGAAGACTTGCCTTTACCATAAACACAACCTAACTACAGCTAGTCTTGAAGCTTACTAAGATCTTCCAACACACCAACATATTTCTTTCAGCTGTTTATTTTCATTACCTCTCCTTGGATGTACTAGTAGAAAACAATGGGGCAAAACTAAAGTAACTGGTGATTAATATAGCCAAGCTGATGTGACTAGAGACTCAGGGTGCCATTTATCACTTAACAGAATGATTTTCAACATTATCTCCTCCCCCATCAGTATATCTCAAAAGTATTTTCCAATGGAAGCATGGACCTTTATACGGTGTACAAAAGCCCCTTGACAGCAGGTTTGTTTTCATCAGTTTCTTGTGATGAACCAACCCCTTTTAAGTTGTCTATGGTTAAAAATCATTGCTTTAACACAATCTCACTTTCCCCTGTACATCTTTTCTTAGCATCTCCTGATGCCAGGCTAGAAGTTACATTGGTCACATCAACTTTTTAAAGTTATGTTCACACTGTGCTCCCAGCAACAGTGATCAGCTCTCAGGTCAAGGACTCTGCTAAACCTGCAAGTGCAACCAGGGAGAAATGCATTATCAGCTACTCCTCATGGACTGACAGACTCTAGAGGATCCCTGATACAAGGTCAACAAGGAACAAAATTTCAAGAGTGATACTCAGAATACAATGATACCCACAAAAACTCAAAGAGAAAATAAATTGGGCTTATGAGGAAAATAGAAATCAGATTTTAAGTAGGAAAAAAAACCCCAGTAGTTTAGTTTGTGATGAAAATTAGGAGTAGAGGTGGCTAAATGAAACGTTTCAAGATTACTTGGAACACTCACATGATTGTCCCTTTGCCACAACTCCACTATTTGTGCATGATGTTAGTAAATCGAAAATAAACCTTTCCTCTAGCAAAATAACAGTAAGAGGAAGCATTTATCTTTGATACTAGAATTACTACTTCCTTATAATAGGCCGTTTCCTCTAATTTGTGTACTCTGATTACAGCTTGCAAGAATACTACTTCTAAATATATTTGCTCTGGAAGTTAGACATAACTTCTCTGACCAACTAGATATGCCCAGCATTATTTATTTTAATTCATAAAAGAATTCTTACAAAAAGGTGTTTTCCTGACTTTTCACATTCATTAATGTTGCCTACAGGCTTCACTAGACAGTGTAATTTAACAACAGAAAAAAAAAAAACCAAACAGCAACACACTAAAGCTAGGATGCATGAGACAATAACATATTAAAACTCCATACATAATGTTACTAAAGAAATTTTAGGGAAACAGGTGGCTTGATGCAGATGTCTGAGGCTACACTCCCAAATCTTCAAGTGACAGCTGTAGCTCCAAGCGATTCAAGCTAATTGGCTAGGTTTATTGGATGATACTTTCAAACTAAGATGAAAATTACTCCTTTAAATTCAAAGGCCACTAAAACTCTACCCACAAATGCCAGCATTAGGATTCATTTTTGTTACAACTAGGGCCCACTTATCTGATGGATAAACCTGACAGGAGAAAAGACAGAAACATAATTAGGTAATCTCCCTGTTCACACGGATATGTTAGCAGTGAGTGGAATTATGATAATAAACAAAATCAAACATATACACAGTTTTTAACAAAAATCACTATACATGGCACAAATTAGGGGGAGATTAACGGCATTTTAAAACAAGGGGTGCTCAGCAACTGAAATGACATGTACTTTTTCTACCATTCTGTCAGCAACAGTGATCTCTGAATTTGGAAATTATTTAGCTAACTCTCAGTATCAATAACCCAGCCCCAAAAAAGTGTCAGTGGCCTTTGGTCACCGGCTCCAGAAGTGTGATTAGTCTTCTGATAAGTAGTATCTTCTGCACAATGTAGGCATTTTCAGAGCTTTTGTAGTGTCTGAGCAATGTTTCTTGGTACTTCCATTAGTAAGCATCAAAAGCATCAACTAAGACACAAAAATATATTTTGTTCTGAAACACAAACTGAACTAAAGTAACTCATTGACTCATGACTAACTTTTGTTAAATTTATTTCGTATGGTAAATTAAACACAGTTTAAAGAAATCTTACCGTCATGAATCTCAAATGCCAAACTAGTGATCTTCTGAGTAATTATCATCATTGGACTGTTACAGAAAAGGAAGAAAGAATAATTTAGAAAAATGTTCAGGGTGTTCTTTCACATGTAAGTATCAGGGAAAGTTTATACTAATAGTCCAGGTTAATTACTCTCAACTGGAAGATTTTCAATGCAAGGACAATGTGATTAGTTTTTGGAGCTTAAACCATTACAGAGCAATGAAAAGAATTTAATCCTTAGATATAGTATTTGATAACCATGCCTCTAATTGCTGCATTAGGTTCCACAAACACAGACAAAGTGTTTCACAGTTTCTACTAACATAGTTTACATTTTTACACTGGGAAGAGTAAAGAAAAAGGGGTAGCAAGAGCGATTATATACACTGTGAATTACTGTAAGTGAAGGACAATAAAAATATACCGAAGTTGAAGAGTACTATAAATTTAGATATGCAGACTATTTCCACTGCTTCTACTAAAACCTGCTCCTATACTGAATTTTTCCATGTAGAATTATTATTTGCTTCAAGTAAACATATCTGGCAAAACAAAAAAACCAGCATAATTATACAGGCTCCAACAGAGTTTAGTTTGTTTTGTATTTGCTACACTTGAGCAGATCTTAAACTGTTCAAGAGATACTCTTCCCTGGCTCAGCAAGTCAGCTTTATACTGAGAAATTATACCGTCTTTGTAGTATCCAAGAATTTCTGACTGATGTAAATCCCAGCACTGTTAACCCGCTAACTGGGGGGAAGGAGGGGATGGGGGAAAGCATAACGTAAGCTACCAGAATTTAGAAATCTAACTCTGAAATACAATCTCAAAAATACATTAGAGATTGTATTTACTTACTAATATCTGAGCTAGAGACAAAAAAACCCACAACAAAATAATCATACTGTAGGATGGGCACATAGTTTTGTTCCAGTCTTTTGACTGCACTTGGCCTTTTTAACGTATTGAAGTTGGCACAGAAAAACAAATCCAAGAGCTGTCAAGTCCTCCCTCATTGACAGGGCTATGACAGCATTTTGCCAAATGGCTCCAACTGACAATTTTATTTTTTTTTTTTTTTTCATATGGTTATTTCAAAGCACACAATACTTCTAGTCCTCAAAATGCCATCAGGGAAAAAAGTTTCTTCACTATATTAATCAGTACCCCAAAATCCTGATATCAAGACTAGAGTGACAGGCAAGGGTCAGCAAGGAAGGAAACTAAACAAGAACAGACAGTCTGGGAAACCCCTTATACCTCTTTCTAGCAATTAAGCTGTAGACCTGCCTGGTGCTGGCAGAAATCCCCAAGTGATTCTGAACATAATGGGTTTTCCTTCTGTAAGTGGACATGTGACAGCATGGATCCTGCCTGGTGGAAGGATGGAGCCCAGGAGGAGCTCGGTCAGAGCTGACATAAATTCTACCTAATACATCTGTCATTATCATAGCAGACCCCAGTATTTTTTTCCTTCTCAAGTAGCTATTCCAGTACCTTCAGAGATTTCGCTGAGGAGCAACAATCTAGACACTAAAAGAGGAAGTATCCTTCCTGGAACAGTGAGGCTGTGAACCAAGATTTTAATGGTCCCTTTTAGATGCTGGCAGAAAGGCAAAGGAGATAGTGGCAGCTGGAATCTGTTAGTACTGAAGCCAGGACCACACAGCTCTGCACAAGCAATTGCACCTCCAGCATGAGGTTTCCTCAGCTTTCTCCCCTGTCAGTGCACTGACACGATCCTTCTACCCTTTTGCAGATTCTCTGGGCTGGGACACCCCACAGATGGGCATGGTATGCAAGGATAAATATCTAGGTAAACAGACATTCAAAGCTCTTTTGAGGTTAATCACTATATGAATCCATGCCAACATCTTTGGAAGAACTTGCTGGTGCTGGGGTTCAACAGCTTGTTAGGTAACTTCTATTATTTTCTTGACCTTACTCTCTTCCACTGGAACTAGAGAAATCTGACAGAGGATAGCCCCCTTAGATTCGTTTTTCTTTTTCCTCCTTACTTGGAAGTAATCTCTGTCTCAGGCCTCAAGGAGCAGATGCAGTGTATGCCAGAGATTTAATGTGATGAGCATACATCAAGCTCCCAAACTGGTGGATGGTTTAAATCAGGCAGCTCAAACAATCAGAAAGTTGGATCTGTGCTTCAGAACAGAACAGCTCTATCCAGAGGACAGATCTCATAAATCTTCAGATGTGTTTAGACCTAGGAGAAATCTCTAGGCTAACACCAAATCAGAGCCACAAAGACAGCTGCAATCTGAAAGCAGTGTAGTCACATTTGAGCAATGGTGTGCTCAAACTCTACTAATAGTTTTGAGAGCAGCAACCACGAAGTGCAACCATACTGTTTCCAGAGTCAGCTTAGAGCTTTGATCACTGCCAAGGTGGTGAACTGTAAGGGGCAGCATTTGGATTACAGTTCCACTTGTAACGGTGAAATTTAATTCATCAGTAAATCTCATTTTAAAGTGTCTTTATGCATATGTCTATATTGCAAGCTCTCATTATAGCTCGTGGAGGTCTAAGTCAATACTCAGGGGCATGTGGCAAGTGACTCAGTTCACACAAAGGTATATACTGAGTGGTGGGTCAACCAAAATGCCCCCCAAGCTCTACTGTCTAAATTGGTCAGATATCCACTGACTGTAATTGGAACTTGATATATGGCTTGAAGGAAGACACTTGGATGGAGGTATAAATGTAGAAAGATGTTTCAGAAGGTAAGACCCAGCTAAAAATGACAGATAAGATGAACTTGACCATAAAAGCTTTTGGCTTCTGCCTACAAGTTAAGTTTCTGGACTATGTGCCTCTTACTAATGAAAACTGAAAAACAACAAGGCCAACAAGCACAACTACTACACAACACAGGTAGTACTAAACTACAAAGACCACTGTTATTCATAGTATTACTGAGAAATATTTAATGCATTTTTTTAAGCAGACTAACACACACTTCCCATCTTTTTTCCAAAATACATACTCTCCTTTAAATCAGACAAAAGCACCATCACATCAGGAAACTGATTTATAGGAAATGCTGTGGTTCACTTCTCTGTGTCTGCAGTACAAAGAAGAATCCTCAATATGGTTTATTCTTACTTTGCCTATTTAATTCCATTTTGCTCCTATACAGCTCAAGAAATATAGGTTTAAAGTTCATTAGATAAAATGAGAACACATATAGAGTAAACTTTCTATTTTCAAGGACTGTGTGACTACTCCACCATACAGGTGCCTCTCCCTTTAGCTTTCTCCTGGAACATCTAACATAAAAGCAAGTAAGAAAGAAGCTAAAAGCTAAATTCCACAAAACATTCAGATTTTCCTCAAAGTGGTATCAGACTGTGCCAGGCATGCAAATACATCAGATACAATTCAAGTTTCATCATATTGTCATGAGTGGTAACATATATTTTAGGGGAAAAAGCAAAACCCACCCCACAGCCATCAAATGTTTTATGCCCTTTAGACAGAACAGGAGGCAGCAGATAACACATTCATGGTTTTAACAGACACAACTGTTCCCAAAATTCTCAGTTTGCATGATTAAAACATAGGTACTTAGATATCTGTATGTGTGCCAATACACATGCACATGCCCATGCCCAGCTTTCTCCCAAAGTTTAAAAGGTTGACACACTTAACTTGGAAAAAAAACCAAAACAAAACAGTAACAAATACAGTACCACTTAGGAAGACAAAATGGAAAGATTATTTTTCTCCTTACCCAGAAAAATCAGCAGAATACTGTCCATAATCAAAGATATAGACTCTAGTAATTTGGCACACAGTGAGGTATCCCAAAGCAAAAACAAAACAATACCTGGGAGAAGAAAAAAAAAAAACAAACAGCCTCTTTTCAATTAAAAGCCATAAACATTTCACCATTGAATAAGCTACCCTTTAAGTAGAGTTTAGTCTCCAGTTATTTCTAGTGTAAGTGCACCTTCATTCTAACTGGGGCTTTTTGGTAATACTTATTCTATGCAAGCACATAAGACTTTTTTTTTTTTTTTTTTAAAAAAAAAAGTGTGCAGTACTAACTTACAAATTCTGTTGTCATTAGCCAAAATATTCATTCAGACAAAGCAAGCATAGGATTTATCATTTCAAGTGCCACCGTAAAACTGGAAGTCCTATAAAGAGAATCTGAATGAATCTGTTAAGTTTGGGGTTTTTTAGTTCAAATTTTTGTCTATGAATATAGAAATCTGGCAAATTAGACGAACGTTGTTTCCATTGAATGTATTTCTATGCATTCAAAATTCAGCACGACAAATCCTACTGCTGCTGTTTTCAAAGGAACTAGAAAAAGCAATTAATTTTTAAATACACATATTAAAACATATCTGAGTGAAAAAGAAACAGGATGCCTTTGTGCCTCCTGTTAAAGCTGATCCTCAGCAAACGTAAGAAAAACATAGATAAGAACCACCTTATACAAGTATTATAAATGTAATATTACATATCATTTGTTCAGGTCAGGGTTGGGATTTTCCACACATCCCTCCTTTATAAGAGGTACAACACTACACTAGCGAGAACTGATTGCAATACACCTCAAAATCTGCCCGATACTCTTTGCAGTCACTGACTATGGTGAATGCCAGCAGAGCCTTTAGGACCTTACATATGAACTTCAGTCTTGAACTTTTTCATGTAACTTAGGAAGCATTCACGGTAATGAAATCAAGCACTTGTTTCATATTTAGAATCAAAATATTCATACCCCAAATGAAAAATTATGACTACGACTAGATTTAGGTGGAATAGTAAGGGATAATACAGGCAGACACTGAAACATGCTTTTCCTTTCTTCTCCAAATAAGTATCTTTGGAAAAAAAAAAAAAAGTGCTAACATGATAAATTCTAAAATTTTAGAAATTATTCTTCAATCTGAAAGTTACCACACAGAACACTTGCAGTTTAACCTTTAATTAAGAATTGTGCTAAATATAAACCATTTAATATTTTAAAATATCCAAATTTCAAATTACAGATTATCTTACGTATCAGTAGCTAGATTAAACCACACTTGTTTAAAAAAAAAATGTTTAGAGTGCCTGTGTTAGCAATAGTTTATTTTCTGTTTTCATGGATATTAATAATCCAGTAACACTATTATATTGGGTGGTTAATTGGTACAAAAGTGTTTATAATAAGAATCTCCTAAATGATACAATAATTGGCTCATAATTATACCAATTTACTTCAGCAAAGAAACCATTTTAACACAATAACAGTATGTAGTGGACTGCAGGTATCAGTAATATGATTTAATGTAGAATTTTTAAAGAAGTTTGGAATTAAAATTTTCCTGAGATATTTTCAGAAAAAAACTACAACCATGCTGCATGCCCCCCCCCCCAAGTCACCCAGGTTTCACACAAATGAGGGGTATGGGGGTTTGGCTTGACCACACAGAAATCAGTCCCAGTGTTTCCATTCACTAAAAAATTCAGTATCATTTTCAGCTTCATCAGCCTCTTGATTTACATAGTGAACAATCCCAGATTAAAAGTAACTTGGTATGTGTAGATATCTACATACCCATGCAAAGATACCATACTAAGAAGCTAAGAAAAAATAAAATACTGCAGTTTTCTTTAAGCAAATCTCATTTTATCCTCACTGGAAAGATCATGTATTTATTAACAGTCTATTCACAGTACATTACAACAAATGTAGAATAAACACAAAAGTAATGCTAACTTCAGCTTTCATATCTTAAAATGCCATCCCTAGCAGCAATACGTACTTTGTTAGGACAAGAAGCACACTTAATACATTAGTGGATTAGGTACAAACCCTCGGTGGAAGAAAACAGATACCAGTTTCTACCTCATACAGTTGATGTCATAAAATGTTTACACTGGTTTTAAACAAGACATTATGACTTCCTTTTGCAAGCGGAAAAGCTATGCTGGTAAGTACAACTGAAGAAAAACTAATAAATATCCTAAAATAAAAGCACTGAGAAGTCAGGAAACTTTAGGTTCTTTTCTATATAGTCATTATGACACAGTTCTGCAGCATTATGTGAACATACATTGCATATTCCTGCCCCAGTGAAAAAACATGTCATTATTCTTGATATCTTCTAAAGGCTTTGCATTCAAGTTTAAGACACATCTAGTGATATTACGTATTGCATACCTTCCACATGTTGCACTCAAGTAGTTTGGGATTTCCCCATGAGCACCTCCTCAGTTATTTGCTATGCATTCAAGAGTTTCATAAAAATTGCATTCCTCTTTGAAAGGAATTTTAGTGAAACCCAGTGTTACCCCAGTTCTACCTATATGAGGAAACTGAGAAATAAAGAGATTATGTGGGTCCGAATTACCAAACTGGGGAGATGCAAGGTCAATTCTTTGGCGAATTTACTTTTTTTAAAAGTTGACAGAAAGGATGTCACCAGTACATTTCAGTCATACACACAAAGCACTCCCTACTTCTACAAATCTAACTGCAGGTGTTCCGTGAAAGGTGAAAGATTATAGCTAATGCAAGTAGTTTAAACCGCATTGCAGCATCCTGCACTTCAGACCACAGACTGGGGTAGCAATGCTATCCAATTATGGAACGGTGAAAAGCGCAGGCCAGTTTAAAGGCGGCTACTTCACTCGTGGGTTCCTGTGGCTTAAATGTCCTCCAACTTCTACAGCAAGTTAACTTTCTGCAATGAAATGACTGGCCTGGTAGATGAGGGGAGAGCAGTGGATATTGCAAACCTGGACTTCAGAAAAACTTTTGATGTTTGACATCCTCATAGACAAGCTGATGATGTATGGGCTCAATGAGCAGCCAGTCAAATGGATTGAAAACAAGATGAATGGCCGGGCCCAGAAGGTGATGGTCAGTGGCACAGAGTTGAAGACCAGTAACTAGCTGTACTCCGGGGGTCAATATTGAGTCTGATCCTCTTTAACATCTTTGTTAATGATCTGGATGATGACAGAGTGCAACCTCATCAAGTTTGCTGATGACACCAAACTAGGAAGAGTGGCCAATACACAAGAAGGTCTTGCTGCTATCCAGAAGGACCTCAACAGGCTGGACAAATGGACTGATAGGAACCTCATGACAGTCAACAAGTGGAAGTGCAAAGTCTTGCACCTGGAGAAGAACCACCCCAGGCATCAATATAAGCTGGTAGGTACCCAGCTGGAAAGCAGCTTGGCAGAAAAGGACTTGGGGTCCTTTTGGGATCTGTGGACACCAAGTTGAACATGAGCCAGCAACATGCCTTTGCAGTAGAGAAAGCAAGGGGAAGGGACAAAGCTTTCCCATCTTTAAAGGAGAAAACATCATTTGCAATGACACTGTAGCAGGAATCCAGTTAACACCTTGCCTTGAGGAAAGACAGAAACATCTATTAAATCTCACATCTCCTGTCCTTCCCAATACTATTTTCCAAACCAAAACATAACTACTGTGGAAAGTCCAGTTAGAATAAAGAGCAACAAAATGAGAGCATCCTTTCTTGCTTTTGTCTTCATACAGCATTTCTCTGGTTTCGGTATTTGCTGACCAAAATGTCAGTCACCTGGATACATCCAGATGTCCTTCAAAATAGGTGCATCATGAGCAACATGGTATTTCTCTCAACACTTGGTTAGTATCCTCACTGATTTTATAGTGCAGAAGAGAAAGAAAAAAAAAAAACCAAACACCACAACCCAACAACAAACCACCTTAAACTTCTTGCTGAGATTCCAGATTCCATTTTACAATATAAACCAAAAAGCTGTCTTCCCACAGAGAAGAGAAACTTGATGTTATGCATTCACAAAACACAGCCATGAATTTTAAGTATCTTCCAACTATCTCAGCCACCAGCTCCAAGTTACACACAGCCTGGGAGACTTCAGATTTTTAACTGGTGAAGAAAACAGAGGACCTTGCAACCCATACAGTACTTTTCACCTTCCACGTGCATCTCTGCAATGATGCCACATCACATCCATCACAAAATTCAAAACAGATCTGAAAAGGCTTTGGAAACTTTTTAAAGTATTCTTACTGCATGTTTCCTCTTCTCTTCAAAGTCTCGGTCGCAAAAATACCCTTTAGATCAGAAAACTGAGTAAGGTTTTGCAAAGTTAAACCACATGAAGTTTTATCCAACTAAAACGAAATTAATTACAGGCTATACATGAACAGAACGGTTTTACCAAGGCTAATTTTTACCTCCAACAGGAAAGCAATTGGTCTTAAAAGTCAATGTTATTCTATACCTGCAACTCTGTGAATAATGTTCTTGTGAGCAGAATGACAATAATTCACACTGGATGTGAACAACCAGAAGCAATTTACAGTATTTTTATTATTACAAATAACTTTAAGAAAAACCAACCTGTAATTAATATTGTACTGTAAGAAAAAGACACATTCACTTAGAATATGTTTGAGACTAATTCACAGGATCTTTATCAAAATGACCTTACTTTATCTATCAACAGATGCAAAGTCAGACATGTCTGGGAGACATTGAAGTAATGAAGTAGCAGAAAGCAGAACAGATTGTCTTTCTAACTTCTAATTTAAAGTTTTAAAAAAATATTTTAAGCAAACAATACTGGGTAACCTATTATACAGGAGAATTTTTCTTGTGTAAATCAAAGAGCTTTGCATTCTAACACATTATACACAAAATATAACGTATAACATACTGTATACATATATATTACAATATATAGAAAATATTAAGCAGCCTCTCAACGTGGTACTCTACGGAAGGTGCTCATCAAGAGAACTTCTGTTTAATTCCATTTTTAAAAAATGCAGAAGAAGCTCTTATTAGCAAAAATACATTGCCC